CAGTGACTGAAACTAAGAGAGCTACAGAACTGCCAGGTAACTTAGCGCCGACATTGACAATGGCCCACTTGCCCAACCATCGGACGGTGCTTAGTAATCAGACGGTCTCACTTTCTTCATTTCAGTTCCTTGCGTTCTGATTCATTCGTGGGCTGTACGTAGTTAAGTGCTGGAATACGTCGGTGCATATTGTTGAGTCTGTGGAGTATTACTCACTGTAACCTTAACGAGTTAAAAACACATATACATTTATTAAATATATGTACTACCAGTTGTACATTACTTTGGGTTTGAAACTACGGTGACATGAGACCAAGATCCCGTTTCAATCTCGCTCTCGCATAAGCGTTCCAACTCAGAAAAATGCGAATGCGCATGCCCGAGGTAACTGGATACTAGAATGTCCAGGTGGATCAAAATAGCTGTTCACGATATGACGGATTACGATAACTATATTTTCTGTACATTTTCGATGTATTACATATTTTCAATATGAATGTGGTAATACATGTTTTATTGTTTTATTAAAAATCGCCTATGTCATGTCGGAAGGTCGTAGCATCAGTTTTGCTATCTACGAGATGAGACTTGAATGGGATCTTGGCATGATGTCACCATACAGTACTATGCGCGTTACAAACCCCAAGTAATGTACCTCTGGTACTACCCAATTGCAAGATCTCATCAATAATAATAATATTTATTAGCCTTTGAAAGGGACAATAGCAACATCAAAATAAACAATTAACAAACAGAAAAAATAACATTACTTGGACAAAACTACATCATAGTACATGTATTAGACTATTATTAAAAAGAAAATCTGAAGTTCAGGCTACTTTAATGAAACGCACACATTGCACCAGCCTTAGTATTTGGTAAAACTTTCTTTAAAATTCAAGTAAAATGTTCTTCTGATTCTGGTAAAAACTTGACAAGTGAAAAGAAAATGAAATTAATCTTCGGTACCGGTACTTATAATATGGAATACTAAATACTTGTGACATGCTGATCATATGAAGTCAGAAGAGAAGTGCAGTATGCGATATCTGCTTTTCCATTCCAGATTTTGGTGTACCTCAATCCTAGGTGTGTTCATACACATGATATATGTATGTACTTGTTCAGACCATGGGTAACATTAGGAAATTGTTTACACATGGGAGGTACATGTATTAGCAAGCTAACACTTTAATACGGTAGACTAGGTTATAAAATTAATTGCTTTTTTCACTGTTAAAGATCAATGGTCGTTGTGCCATGTCCTGTTCGCTATAAGACTCGTTGCGGCAAATACAATGCGTGTAAAATCATTTCATTGTTTTTGGTTTTCCGTGTTTTTTTTTAAATTCCCCTCCCATAGTTTTACAGCAAGTCTCAGAAGTATTGGGGCAGCCAATTTGCAAACTCGCTAGCGAATTGGTTAACTGCTTGGGTTTTGGCTAAACAGTTGGCTTTCGAATCTCGCTGGTGCCGTCTTGTGATCACAGCCACTTACAGCGAATCTATATAACAGTAGGGGATGATCGTCATACTTGAGGAGCTAATCAGCGACGGTTTTACAGTTGGATGTCGATTTCGCTTTCAAATATACTGTTCTATTTCTTACGTATCCACGTAAAAATGACGAATGGCTTTTTTAGCGGTCGGTTTAATGTTACCCCAACGGATATTTTGTATGTGAAAGTTTGTCATTTTCTCCCTGATTTGTAGGAAAATGTTTATCAACTTTACTATTTACATTCAAATTTGTAGTTTCAAGTGTTCAAGATGGCTACCCCATATAATATCGGTGAAATAATCGCATTTATCATATTATCACTTGTAAGCCAGCTGACTGTGGTTATTTCCAGGCTCAAACCGGGGGCTCAAATTACTCATAGGGGAATCCAGACATGTACCAGGCTGCGTAAAAAGCATTCTATGTCCCCTACTGCAATATAGACTCACCCAGAGTGGGCGCGATCACAAGTCGGCGCCAGCGAGATGCGAAAGCGAAATCGTTTAGTCAAAACCCAAGCAGTTAGCCAATTCGCTAGCAAGTTTGCAAATTGGCTGCCCCAATACTTCTGAGACTTGCTGTATAATGCTTCATGCATATTATCTGCATTTGTTACTCCACAGACCCTATTATTATAGACCTGTTATTATATAGATTGTTACACACATCATTTTTTTTATTTAATTTTTCAAAGGGATATATAATATATATACAGTTATGGCCATTGAAGGATGAAGAAGATACAGAACAATTTTCTGTATCCAGGAGCAGCTGGGATTTAAATAACTGTATGTGCAGGTACCACAGTCCATTACTTGTCAGATCTTACAGATAATGACACACCTAATAATGTTCGTCTAATGGTCTACTCAAATTCCATTGGTTGGAACATTAATGGGGAACTTTGACCTCAGACGAATTAGATATTCATAATGGGTAGCAGCGCCAGCTCTGAACAACTTAACAAATCTCCAAGTAGAAATGGAAAGACACCACAGCCAGCCAGTGCCAGGACAACTGAATCTAGGCGCAGAAACAGAGGGTTTGAGGAGGTGGAGTTCCAACACAATGGACAGGTAATGAATAATGGCTCGTCCCATCGACAGCCTCCTACGTATGATGACGTGTATGACGACTACGAAGATTATGAGCAACTGCCGTCAGGTTACTCTGATGATAACCACTGGCAACATACTAAGCACAATATTAACACCACTCAAAGGGTAGTTGCTTCTTTCACACCACAACAGCACCAGGAGGTAAATAGCACAACTAATATTTCCACATTTCCCTCACTATTCTCTTCTTTGTATAATTATTGATAAAAACAGCCAAAATTAATAGAGGAGTTTCACCTTCTGCAGGGTGCTAGGCAACCATGATAGCTTTGAATTTATTTAAGTAAGGGTTATGATACACTGATTTTAGCTAAGGCATGCTAATTCTTTTAAATATTATATATAAATATATAAATATGTATTTATAAACCCAACTATTTTTATTTGAAATCAGTCTATTCAAATCCTGTCTTTATCTGTTCCATGGAGTGTGTATGCATAGATTAGAATGCATTAAAACATTCTATGTCATTACATGCATTCATACATTGTGTTACTGTTTGAGTTTATAAATACTCAGGTTTTATATACATATGTAATTTACAGTACATATATACAGTAATTTATAAGCATATTAAGCTTTAGTGTGAAGGAGAAATGCAAAAACTTTGATTCATGATATACCTACATTTCCTTAACTCTTATTTAGTCAAG